AAGGAACAAAATCACCTAGCCTTTATTCTCCAGTCTTAAATGCACACGAGATATAACACCTCAGCCACACTACGGTGAAGATCCGGCGCACCATACGGGCAGCACGAGTCTCATCTCTCGAGCGGCTGCTGAACTAGGTAGTCACTCTCTTCACTCGTCTTTGTCCTGTGTTTTGGGAACGTCAGAAGCAGTCTGGAATAACCATTACTGAGTCACTGGTAAGTATATGTCACTATTTCATGCTATTTTGAACTAATGCCTTAACAACTCAATCGTTTTTGGTTAAAAAAGAGCCAAATGGAAACATATCTTAGGTGCGAATAGGTAGTCAATTTTTTTTTTAAATCTCTTCCAACCAACTTAGGAAATAACAAGGAACGATTGCTCTAATTCTTTTAGATGACATTTTTTTTCAGATTAAATCATCTCACCTTTTGTTTTTTCTTTTCTTCAAGCTCCTCCTAAGACGCTGAAAGCCTTACATCAACGGGACAGAATCGAGACGAGTATCACTCTGCACGGATGGAATAATAGGAACAACACACCCAGCTTCTTACTGTCTCCAGTCTTTAATGGCCACAGAGATAAACATCCAGTGCACCCAGGGTTGGAAGCACGGAGGACCCATAACTCACACAGTCTCATCTTCATCAGCCCTGGAGACTCAGGATTACATGGGTTCACTCTCGTGTCTGTGGTTGTGGAGGAACGGTGGCAGAGGAGCAGGCGGGATAAGAACCCATCCCGTTATGCAGTCACTGGTACTAGTTCACTATTTTTACACCTGTATTCTTGAACTATGCCCTTAACAACTATCTCTCGGTTATGAAAACTGCCACGAGGGAAGATCAATTCAATTTTAAATAGACCGATTTTTCCATATACATAAAAGCTTTCCACCCAACTCGAAATAAAAAAATACTAAAGAGGGACAGATTGCTTATTTGTAGAGTAAATTTTTTTTAGAAAAACCATGTCAACTTCAAGTTTATATCAAAATATAATACAATCAGAGAAAAAAATACAAAATCAAATGCTGAAAGCTCGCACATCAAACAGGAACAGAATAGACCAGGTATCCACTCTGCAGTGGATACAAGGTGGAACAAACAAAACACAGCTTTAATTCTCCCAGTTCTTAATGGCACAGACACTAAACATCACGTGCACACAGCTGCCGCTGCAGCACTGGACCCAGTAAGCCACACACTCCCATCTCTTCACGTGCTGCGAACTCAGTATACCGTCTTCCACCTCGTCTTTGGTCTGCGTGTTTTGAGAACCGTCAGAAGCTGGAAACAACCACTGTGCGCAGTGCTACTGCGTAAGGCCATGATTGACTTCCGTTAATCGCTCTTTGAATCAGGCAAGACTGTTATTGTTCTGATTCTAGCTGTTGTATAGATATGAACCAGAATTCTAGCATTATTAAAATACATGTTTAAATACCTAGGGTAATTAGTTAATGGTTTCGCATTAAAAGTCCACAAAGTTTAAGTTGCCAATCGTTGAGCCGTGCCAGTAGACATTCAGCTTCCAGACAGTAGTAGGCAACTTGGCTAGTTGTCAAACAACAAATTGCAGGTACTCAAACAGGTGAGCTGTTTAGCAGCGAGCAATGACTATAAACACGTAACAACAGTGGGGTTGAAAGTATGGAATGCTTGTTTTGTTGTCTGTTTTACTGTTTCACTTGGAGATGAGGGAATTGCTGGACACCAAAAAGTCTCCAACCTTCAGCAGGTGTAGTAAAGATGAAGGAATCCATACCATAATGTATCGGAGGAAGAGCATTTAAATATGCCAACATGCTGCTGGTTGGAAGCTGGTGGTAAGGGTGTTCTAGAAAAACATGTAGGGTAATCACTTAGTAACGAATCCTGTTCTTCCTGGGCACAGATGGCACTGGTGCGAATGGTAAAAGGGAAAATGTGGCAGGCGGCTAAAAGATCCCTCAGAAAGAATCCCATTCCTGATGAAATCTTGTCACTGCTCGTCTTCTTCTTCAGCTCTGGGTCATCAAACACGGAGTACAGCTTGATATCACAACAGGACAGAGGCAGTGGCCGGAGGGGTAGGGATGCCCTGCACGTGGGAATAAAGTGAAACAACGCACCCAGCTTATTCCCACAGTTAATGCACAGAAGATAAAACATCAGTGCCACCAGGTGCAGAACGGACCCAGTAACTCCCAACACTAGTCCTCATCTCCTCACCTGCCTGAACTCGTAACATTTCCCTTCTCTTTCGTGTTTGAGAAACGTCAGAAGCAGTTGGAAACATACTGCAGTCCATGGTAAGAATAATGTTCATGTTAATATATATTTGAACTACAATGCTCCAAAACTAAATCTTTTTGGTTATAAATCACAGCCAATCATGGGTGAACAGTATATGTTGATTTCATAGGTAGTATTTTTTTTTTTTAGAAATGCTTTCCAAACCCAACTTTTAAGTACTGACTACAAAACGGCAAGATGGCTACTTTTCTAGATGTATTTTTTTTAGATTCAATCATTCACGGTTTGTTTTTTCTTCTCCAGCTCCTCCAAAGCTGGAAAAGCTTCCACATCAACAGGACAGAAGGACCGAGTAGCCATCGCCAGGAGAATAAAGTGAACAACCAACACAGGAGCTTTGATTCTCAGTTTAATTGTTGTGTGTGCACTAAGTAGATTATTTACATGGGGGGTCATTGTGCGTTGAGTATGTGGAGTCGTGGTTGTTTTGGTGTGGTTAGTGTTGTTTTTGTACGTAGGCTATTCCTGGTGAAAGTACCGGGAGCAGTATGCGTTATGTTTTCTCTACGATGACTCTATGTTTGTTTCATGATCGTATCCTTTGTCATAGTCACAGTTAGTTGTAATGCTATGGGGTGCTGGAACTTGCTACAATGAAACTCAATTTTGTTAGGAGTGTGTTTCGGTGTTTTTATGTCATACATGTTGGTTCGTCTTTTTAGTATATTATATTCTTCTGGTGGGTGTTTTGTTGGTGTCCTTGTTTGGAGAACTTTGCGAGTCAGATATGAGTGGAATTAAGAGCAGTCTGTTGGTATGGGGCTGCGTAGCCACAGACCAGTGAGGGTGCCCAGGTGGTCATAATGTTATGGCTGATCGGTGTGGACATATATATCGATATATCTATATCAATATATAGATATATCGATATATAGATATATATAATATGTGTATTTAGATATATATGTATATATATAATAATTAATAGTATAATATGATGCAAATACAGTAGTTTTGGTTAATTATTTAATCTTTAATACTTATCCATTATCATTTTTTAGTGTTATATCTATTATTTAATGTAACATATTGTGTATTTTTGTCAACAGATTATGTTGTTGGATTGAACGTCAGATTAAAGTCATTTATTCAGCTGTCAGGCTCGGACATCCAGACTATGTTGGAGGAGGTGAAAATAACTGCTGTTTCAGTTCATTTTTTCAATGCCATGACTGGTTTGTATCAAATTCAACAAGTTAATGCTAAAAATGTTTCTTTGTTTCGTTTTTTTGTCTAGCTCTTCAGACAATACGGATTATCATCACATTTGTTGTCCCTAAAGGTTGATCAGATGTAAAACCAGTGGAGGAAAGATGGGAATGAAAGGACAATTAGTAAATGAAACAGTAATTGCACAAAAATGTAACTTTGGAATCTACTTCCAGTAGACTTTTGCAGAGAGCCACTAAAAATGTCACTTTTTCTTTCTTTCCAAGATCTCTTTGGAGCTGTTTCGCCACCATTCACAATTTTTTCAAACATTTTCCACTTTGTGCATTTTGATTTCCTTTGTGCATTGCTTTGTGTCCATCGACAGCACACTCCAAAGATCAGCTGTATTTAGTATGCATACTGTAGCTGTAACTGTAGCAGGGATCATTCCCAAAACAAATATACTCTACTTATCTATTCTGTAATTCTCTTATCATCCGTCATCATGGTTATAGATGTGTTAAGTTTTTGATTTTATGATTTTATTGTTACAGTGTTGTAAAAATGTGTGTAAATATACCTAGTATGTTTTGGTACATGTAAAATAAAGATCTTTGGAATGGTATGTGACTGTGAATGATGAATGTGAATAAGCTTTATTCAAATACTCCCTT